CCCCCCTTTCATCCCTAGTTTCCCCTCACCCTATGACCTCAAACATGGGGTAGGGATCGGGTCTTGTCCGTTGCTGCTTCCTTCGAGTTGCTGCTGTTGAATATATCTATAAAAAAGGGGAAAATACTTAGGCATGATGTAATCTTGTGAAATTTTGTAACTTCCTCACATATCATATTCCTTTCTTTAGTTCAAGATATCTAAAAGCCATATTCCATGTTTACTGCTGAACATCCCAAAAGCCATCTTGTGGTTATTATTTTCTTTAGGGAATCCACAGTCAGCTCTAATCTGAACGCAATGCACAAATAAGGTTCATCCTCGGAATTGGCAATCAGTGAATACCCATAAGTAATGCCGGTCACTGAACCTTCTCAGCAGTGGTAACTCCTCTATGTTGAGATGGGCAGGGAGATTGCACACTGACCCATGAAACCTATCCTAAGCTATTTCTACTTGCAATATCTTCGGCAAATGGGTGGGCTGTAAGAACGTCTTGACCTCCTCTAACGTCGTTACAGCTTTAGCTCGCTGGCCTCCATGGTCAGTGGATGGACAGGTTAGGTTGGGGTAGGGTGGGGTAGGGGGTCAAGAAATGAAAGTTTTATTTATGGAACTTCTCTGCTTGTCGCTCTGCAGCTTTTACATCTTCAGCGGAACTGCTTATCCCGCAGATGAATGTGGGATCTTGGTAGTGGCGTAGACACAATATGTGAAGGATCGTTTTATGATGTTTGTGACGCATAACCTATAAAGGGCTATAATTGCTAAAAATGTTGATGTTTTTTATGTGCGTAGTGTAAGTAAATGTAAAATGAATCAATTACTTTATTTAAAAAATAATTTCCTGCATTAGCAGCTCTTTTCTTGTGTATTAATGAGACAAAACTGTTAGTCATTCTATATGGCTGATAATTACATTCCGAATACATATTGGGTGTTTCCACACACAGTAAGATGAGAGTACTGTGCATTATTTTTTAATTTACGCTTAGGAGAATATCTAAGGTACACCATATACAATTTCCTATTTACTCATTCTAGAGTAATGATAGCGAAGTTTTACACACACTCACCGTGGGCACTAGGTGGCTAGGATCTCAATGCAGCATTGCATTACTCCACCTTTAAAAAATAAACCTCAGTACATCTAACTTAAGATTTAAATTTCTAAATTATATACAATGTACACGTCTTCTCAAAATACAAATATCCGGGCTAATGGGAAAGGCAGGTTCAAAAGTTTCCGGTCTGAGAATCAATCCTGGGAACCTATTTCCATGGGGGAATTATATCTACCACAATTCTTCTCCCAGATAAGGTCCACACCTACCAGGTTTCAGTCCTCCCTGCAATGAGGGAGCCTATAATCTCTGTTGCCCCCTTCACCTTCTCAATTGTAAGCTTACATTTTGCCATGTGAATACTGCAGCATGGCCCAAACCATTTTCCCTGTACCCTAACATTGGGCGCCTGTGCTATTCTTTGTGCTTCCTGTGTTAAACAGTATTCTGGTGTGGCAGATGCCAGTTTCACTAAGTGTCTCTTTCAACACAAGTATTAAGGGGACAGAGTACTCTTAACAACCCTTTTCTGCCAATGGGGTACGAGATAGACTGGTCAGCTACTTGTGTCAAAGCCCAACATACAGCTGCTAGTTCATAATTTCTCCATCATTAAGACTACAGTGCTCTTCGTGGGTTTGAGAACTAGGTATCTTACAGTCAGTGCTATGAGGTCTTATTCCGCGGTCACATATGCAGCGGGGTAACATGAAGTAATAAGGTGCAAGGCAAAATTGGAGATGCTGGCACCATGCAGTCAAATATTATGATTGAGACCAGACTATTTTATGTAAATGGTCTCGCAAACGCATGAAAGAGAGATGTTTAATAACAAACTAGTTTTTCTCTGTAAGTGACCTTCATTTCTTGGATTGTTTATGTATGTGCTTCCATTTCCCTGTAGCATGATCTTTCAGTCCTTAAGAATTACAATTAAATATTGAAGTTTTGATCAGTCAACATTAATATTTTGGAAGTAATAAAAAAAATGTTAGTTAATAAGAATAGATGTTTATAGTCTGTTAACTGATGTTACGGTACTTTAGTTGATAGAAGCAAAATTCATATGAATCATTTCACTCACAAATTTGGAGGATCTGACGAAAATATAGTAATGCAGACAACTTTTCAACCTATTTTACTTTCTTGAACTTTCTCACAGCTCTTCTTACATTGGAACAATTTAATGGCTAATTATGGATATGGAAATTAAAGTAATTTCTCAAGTTTTAGCGGTGGCATGGAAACGATATATTTCTCTATATTTCTCCTTTACAGTGTGATTGTGAAATGAAATCATCCAAGAAGCTTTTCATCCACTTTATATAAAGTGGCATCTCAAAAGCTCTTATTTTTTGACATACACTTCCTGAAACTATGAAGATGGCCTGTATCAGCATAAGATAAAAGCCATTTGTACTTCATGTACTTTAATTGAAAGAGTTATTGGCATTAGGGGAACTCTTGCTATCACAAACTTCTAAAAAAGAGATGCCAAACTCATTTGATCTATTGGGGCGGATGTAATATGGGCATGCGTATGCAGGCCAATTAGTGAATATATAATAAGCAGGACTACTGAAAAGAGCTAAGCAGGGGAACTACCCACAAATGGCTTGTAAAGAGTAATCTTTACCCTTCCACTGTTTATCAAGTGCCTTCCAATAACACCATTTTTATAAATGTCTGAGTATAAAAGTTATAACAAATAATGAGAATTCTAGTTTTGCTGAAACAAAATATCAGGCCTGCTTGCTGTTTGCACAGTAGGATGCAACCTTTAGTTCAGTTCTGGTCCTTGCCTTCTTCAAAAAACATTTCAATCCACACACATGCTACCATTGCAAGTGTACTTTACTCCTATGTATAGGTTCCAGTTGAAACCATAGCATCTGTAACTAATGAGTTGTCCCCAGACGAATGACTAAGACTGGTCCTCGTCAAATGACATAGTCTCAACTTACCAATTCTATATGTCGGCACTTCCCCATTTGCTAGGAATAATCTTTCTCGACACCAGAGAGCCTCAAACTCACAAACACAAATTAGGTATTGCAATATATGATAGTTCAAACCAATCTGTTCATGTTAACAAGAGTTCACGGCTTAGAAAATTTGTTAACTTGTCAGAGACGATATTGAGTTGAAGCCCGTTATGGAATCTTTGTTAATGGACTTCATGAAGGGGTGGTAATGTTGGTCCATTAAGGCCAACCATTTTAGCCTATTCACCTGCAGGTGACACTAGTGAAGGTAGATAGGATACCTTTGTACCTCTATATGATCTCAACATCGAGCAACTGGTAATATATTGTGGGGAATTGCCTTAGCCTTCTCTGCTGAAGAAAAATTTTAGTGACCAATATTACCTCTCGGGAAACACTTTATGACTCCCGAGGAAC